TGTGCAGAGGTCCTCTATCAATTAATGCATTGAAAGACTTGATAAAGAAATTTGAAGAGACAGGATCCTTAGCAGTTCAGCCTGGTAGAGGGCGGAAACCGGTGTCTGCACAGACAGTTAGTAATGTTGCAACTGCACTTCTTGAAGGTTCACAGGGGACCGTTGCCAGTAGTAGCAGTGCCCAGGGAATGGCACGACAATTGGAAATGATGCCTTCGACGGTATGGCAAGTTTTGCGAAAAGTTCTCAAGTTCTATCCATACAAGATAAGCCGCCTGCAAGAATTAAAACTAAACAACCATGCTATACAAACAACTTGATATTTGCTTTGACATTTCTTGCCAGGATGGAGATGGACGACGCTTGGCCGAGGACAATTCTCTAGGGAGACGGTGCCCATTTTTACCTAAATGGGGATGTGAACACTCAAAATTGTCACATTTGGGCATCAGAACACCCCCAGCAGGTTGTGCAAATTCCATTGCATTCACTGAAACTCACTGTTTGGTGTGGCTTTACAGCAGATTTCATCATCGGACCATTCTTTTTTGAGAACATCACTCGAACAGGACCACAGACCTGTACTGTTACTAAGGAAAGGTATTGCAATATGCTGACTAGTTTTGTCATTCCACAACTTCAGCAATGACAATGTCTGGATGAGACAATCTTTATGCAGGATGGAGCACCACCACACATTGGTCTCATGGTGTGGAATGTGTTGCGCCAGCACTTCACTGAAGAAAGGGTCATCAGTCGCTTTTTTCCACTTGCATGGCCACCTCGCTCCCTGGATCTAACCCCATGTGACTTTTTCCTGTGGGGTTACTTAAAATATAAAAAAGGACTGTACAATTTTTAATTGCATTTTACCTTTTTAACTATGTAATTTATATTTTTATGCATACTTGTTGATTCCTTTTATTTATTTTTTGTTTGTTTGGACAGGCAGGTATCATTTCTCTTTACAGACTTTTCTATCTTTTGTAAAAATAAATTTAAAAAAAAAAGCTGACTAAACTTTTGAACTGTTAAATCATATAAAAATTTAAAAAATAAAATAATTCTTATTATTTTGTAAGGACTAAATTTAAAAATGGCTGCTTCTACAGGAATTTTTTAACAACAAAAATACTTTTGTTTGTTGTTTATATTCATTATTCGTGATGAATATAATGAAATATTCTATGAATGTATATTTAAATATAGAATTTGTGTAAAATTGTTACGTAGAAAAATGAAATCATCGGAAGTAGCTACTGTATCCTGCTTCCTGTTTGGGTCTTATGTTTAGGATGTTTAAATATGATTACATTCCCCCTGATACTAGTAAACAATTATAAATAAAATTAGGTAAGTGTAATGAATTATCATTTAAAATACATTTTACATTATTAAATGCTTTAATTTAGTCACTTTTTAATATTTAACATGAAATCCTATTTTGAAGTGATTCTAACAATGTGCTTTTATTAATTAAAGTTCATACTGTGTATAAATTGATAAATACAGTATTTAAATCAAACAAAAGATATTATTTAGAGTCGGGTTTACACTTGATATGGTCCTAGATGTATAAGAGGCCTTTTCCTCACTATTAAATAGCAATAAATTTAAATTGTAGCTAGTGATGCGAGGCCCTAAGCTGTAGCTTGTTTTGGTTGTGTATATCCTGGGCTATTATATAATCTTGTATAACCAGGGCATGTCNTAAAAAGTTTTTGAACTGTTAATAATATGAACAGAAAATATGTCATTTTAAAAATTTATAAAAAGAAAACTATACGTTTACAAAAATTAAATAATAAGTGCTTTATATCTTATTTCAGGCCTTTAAATACATTGTTTGCTTACTTATTACATACAGTATATTATAAAGTAGTAATAGAGGAATTGGAGGAGAACTTAAACTTAAAACCAACACCTTAAAATTATTTTGGCAAGTATTTTTGATTTACGAAAACATTTGTGACCCAATTGATGGATCTTCGTCAGGTGAAGAATATTCAACAGTAATCGAACGTACAGAATTTAAATTAAATAGAACAAATACAATTTAAATCTAAAATTAAAATACAAATAAATAATAAAAACAAAATAAAATAAAAATTTACAAATTAATATAAAAAAGGGAGTAAAACAACAATGTATATTTTTTTGTTGTTAAAACATCCCAAAACAAATATTTAACAAAGCTAGATTTCGTAAAGTGATTTCCATGCAGTAGATAAAAGTCAGCATCCCAGTAGTTCACACAGTCAAGATTACTATTATCCTTGTAGATTTCCAAGATTCCATGTGTATTAGGCTATTTATATCATTTGTAGGGCTAATAACCTTACCATCATCCTGAGAGACCTCTGTGTTATATTTGTTGACAAAACTGAATAGAGCGGTGTTTTAGACCTTTAGTGACTACACATTTATATTTTTTAATTCTATCGGGGAGGTTTTGTAAGATGGCACCAACATATACCATCTTCCTGTTGAAACAATGGTCTTTTATGGATGTGGAATTAAGCCTAGAAGATTCAGAAGTTTACAAACCTTTGTTATTGCTTAAAAGCCTGAAAACCATAGGACTGCACTTAAAGGCCAGGCTGAGATTGTTGCATTTTGCCACCTCCTTACATATCCTTTGTAATGCAGGGAAATATTTTGGTGTTAGCCATAACTGTTGTATATTCTTCAGTGAAGAATTCATGTCAGTTATGCATTTTCATGTGTTTTACCCTTCCCTCGAGCTTCTTTCATGTTTTTCTGAGAGATTTCCTCTTAAATAATGTCAATTCTTCCAATAAATACCACCAACACACTGGAATTTATACACCTCATTTGTCATTCTTCATTATTTAGATATAGTAAGACCTACAAAAAGGCAGAGGTGTTCCTATGAGCAGACTCATGTCATGGATTTTATATGAATTGGTCATTCACTATCTTCAGAAAGTAGTACTACCCAAGTTGATACACCAAATTCTAATAAATGCCTGATATGTGGCCAACATATTTATTTTACACTTTCTCCTAAGAGTTAATCACAATCTCTATATATCTATGTGGTCTACAACTACAAGTGGAACAGAAAATCCATATCAAAGTTTATTTTTTAGATGTTTCCATGATGAAAACATTTTCAACGATGTCTTCGTGTCTTATTTCGTTTAACAATATTGCAGACAGCGCCATTTCCTGTTGGTGGTGAGTTTTTGAACTTTTCTTTTTGCGGAAAATAAAATCCCATGACGTCCTGTACACCAAGTTTGATAATATTCTGTCCAGTAGTTTTCATTTTATGGCCATTTCAAAGTGGAACTTTAATTATAAACACCCTGTATATGAATCTGACTATCTACTGCATGGAAATCACTTTACAAAATCTAGCTTTTTTAAATATTTGTTTTGGGATATTTTAACAACAAAAAAATATATATATTGTTGTTTTACTCCCTTTCTTATATTTATTTGTAAATTTTTATTTTATTTTGTTTTTATTATTTATATTTTATTTTTAGATTTAAATTGTATTTGTTCTATTTAATTTAAATTCTGTGTGTTGAATACACTAACCAACAAAGATCCATCAATTGAATCACAAATGTATTTAGTAAGTACAGTAGAACCTCCATTATCCGGACCTCCATTATCCGGATTTTCGATTATCCGGATTGTTCAAAGTAAACAAAAATTTTTCGAATTTGCTGATTTGCACTTGGCGAATTACGACACTGTTTATGTACGTGATGGAATGCATAACTTTTTTTGTTCCAACAACGTCTCACCCGGCACAGTGGTCGTAAACTCTTAAATATATTTTACGTAGTAATAAAAATATAACTTGACATACATATTTATAAATAATTTGTATTCAAATTACATCATTTCTATGACCAAGGGCGGCGTAAGGCATGGACGACATGGGCCACCGCCTATTCCTCGCGGTCCGAAGGGCCTCGGCGCCTCGAAGGTTTATACATTACTTAAAAGCCGTGAACGTGACGAAAAAATTTTACTCGTCATAAAACGATAAATAGTTTGTCAAATTTTTATTCATAAAAATGCAGTTTCAACTGCTTTTTATTTTATAAAATCCGTCTTCTTGCGCCACCAGAGGGCCTTTTAAACAATAGGTAGTCTGTTAGCGTTGGTCAGTAGTAGTCCAAATTCAATACGAACGTTTGTTTCTTGAAAATTTGATCACGATTTAAATACAGTATTTACTTTTAATATTACCGATATGTCATCGAAAAGAAAACGTGTTGTATTATCATTAAAAGACAAATTAAAGTATCTGTTTCGATTATCCGGATTTTTCCTTATCCGGACTACCTTCATCCCCAATTAGTCCGGATAATCGAGGTTCTACTGTATTTTCGTTTATCAAAAATACTTACTAGAATAATTTTAAGACATCTTTACAGCAAATAGGAGTTGAATGATCAATGAGTCAAAGTTGAATGATCAATGATAAAACTATATCATTGGATATTAGCAACATTAAAATTATTTTCTATTTAATTTTTTATGAGTTTGCTATTCTTTAGTAAAATCAAAAAACAAAAACTGCACACGTAAATTGTAATTATAATTCTTTAGTAACCACCCAGCCTCTGATCTAGCATCTATCATCATCTTTCTTTAATCAAATTTAAAAAAAAAAGACTAAAAAATTCAATAAAAGTAAAATAGGAGATGAATCAAAGAAAATTTTGTCAGCTCCAAAAGAAGCAGTTTTTTCTAAATATTTTCTAAATTAGAAAAATCATTGGAGAAAATACATAGAAGCTTAAATTATTATTTTGAAAAAATATTAAATTTCTTTATATCCCAATGTACTTTAATTTTTTGATCCATTCCTAGAACTTTTTGATCACAAAATAATTTTAACTTAAAAATAATTATGTTTCTTAATCATCTTCAATGTAAAACTGATACAGAATACATTAATTTGTTAGTTTTGCACTAAATGCTCATAAGAAACTTAGGCGAATCTTGAACTACACCATACTTGTAATCTAAACAGATTCTACAATAATTATGACAGAAAATTGTTTTGTAAAGATATTAAACAAAATGTCTCTAATACTAACCTCTATTTCATGCTTTAAATCATTTGTAATCTTAATCTGCTTTTGAAGCTGTTCTTGTGTTTCATTCAATTTCTTTTTAGAATCTAGTTTTTCTTGTTTAAGAGAAGAAAGCTCTTTCTGTAAAGCTACAACGTAATTTGAAACTTCTTCAGCACTACGTAATTCTTGCTTGGCATCTTCCAGTTTTGTTCTAAAAGCAAAAATGAGTGTTCTAATTCAGAAGGTTCTTGTTAATAAAATTCAGATTAAAATCATTTCATCAGAAAAATAATGATAATACAGTCGAACCTCACTACAATGATATTGTGGGAACAGGAAAAATAGTATTGTTATACTATGGTTCATGGCTTCCACATCCTACAGCTGGGCCCCCAGACCAGTATTATTGGCAAAGCCCGAAACCTTAGTGGTGTGAGGCGAGGGACTTAACCGAGAATATTAATTAAAATATGTCAAGAACTAAATATTCCAATTAAATTGAACTCAATATTCCCATGAAAATCCAAGCAAAGCAAAAAATACAAGCTGATCATCTTCATACCAGGCTCCTGTGAGAGCCATGCCAGGGTTAATGCTTTGTGAGATCTTGAAATTTAAGAAAAAGATCATTAAGAAAGTAAAGATTAGTTTAAATATTAATTACTATAATTTAAATAATGTTCTCTGATTGGTTCTGTATTATTTATTAACCAGGAAATTATTATACTGTTTCGAACTTTATGATGTTCTAAAACAATTCTGTTATTTTGCTTTGCAATCATTTTTTGCAATCTATGGTTTACAAATAATAAAATCAATTACATCAAGAGCAGCCAATTATTTGTTTCTAATTCCGGGAATTGTGGTTGCCATAGGGGACATTGGGAGCTTACAAAGAACTGATTCTTCCTCTTCCACGTCAGATCCTAACTATGCCAGAATTATCTCATCTCTGCAGTCTGTAAATAAATATAACTCCTCATCAACAGTAACACTCTTCTTTGAAAATGCTTATGCTATTGCCTGTAATACTGGTATATTTTTGGAGTGATTTCTGGGGGTCTCCACTTTGTGATAACAGAGGCATGTTACCAGACTCACTATTTGACACAAAATCATCATTCTCACTCACTGGTATGTCACATTCTCTTCAATGAAAACAAGTCTTGCTTCTTTCCAGCAGGTTTTGATTGTAAAAAGTTGCAAATTTCACCAGCAGCTGGCAATCATTTCACATGCTTGTTTTATATTTATGTTATAGAGATTTGTGAACTTCCTTTCAATGTTTATTAACACTCTCTGCACCAAATGGAATCTGTACTTGATTTTAAAACTCTGAATTATTCCCATATCTAGTGGTTATAGCAGTGATATAATTGGCAGGTAAATAATACACGGTCGATTCAGGTTATTAGCACGGTCAATTAGTACGACATGCCACATATTAGGACAAAACATTCGAGAACAGAATCAAATCTTATAATGCAAGCATAATTTACTTTGCCTATTGGTCCCGAAATGCCGCTTAGTAGCCCTGCTGTCACAGTATTTTTCTTGGAAAATTACGGCAAAACATTAAAAGATCTCAGAAGACCAAGAAAGTGACAAAGATGACATTCCCGAGCCCGAGCCCAAGCCACTAACAAGCCGTGATACCAGAAAATTCATCAATGACTACAGTGCTACTTCATGTTGGAAGGCAACGAAGACAATCCTATGTCTGCACTGGATAACTGTGCAGATTTTGTTTCCGTGCAGTCAATCAAAAAAAGACATCGGGTCACAGGCCGAAACGTGTTGCTTTTCAGCACAACATTGGTCCAGTAATTGGAACATTCTGTGTACGCATCTCGATAAACCAATGAAATGTTGCACTTTCAATATCATCACAATTAGGTATCTTCAGATGTTTCTGAGAAGGATATAAGTTCCTACCCACTACACTTCACTCGATTTCCTTCTATTTCTTTAAAAATGCTGCTAGGATTGACCAAGCAAAGCCACACTTCTTTGCAACTTCTGTTTGTTTCATTTCACTATCAATATCTTTGAAAGCTTCTAGCTTCATGAAAGTTTTGACGATGTGAAATGTGATGTAGAGTCATTTTTTGAATCCAAACCAAAACTTTTTATGCAGTTGAAATAAATAAACTTGAGACAAGGTAATTGAGAATACATTGTAGACTAAATAAAATTTTTTTTTTTCAAAAATTGTCTTAATCTTTCTTTCAAAGACACAAAAACCTTCCATTCGACCCAATATGTTCTGATAATATATTATAAATTCTGGTAACATGTGCACATGAACATACAATATATATCAGAAATTCAATAGTTCATTATAACAATATGAAAATAAAATTTCTTAAATGTGTTTAGGATTTTCCAGAAAATTTTCTAAACTTTCTAGGGAAAAGAAAATCATATCACATTGAAGAATAACAAAATTCATAAATGCCTATGCACATGCTGGTAAATCTATTTTGTATTGATTTTGTTTTTGTGACTTATGATCAAATGTCTAATTAAATTTAGTCTGTATGAGTTATAGACACTATTTACCAGCATTATTGAAATTATTGATTTGGATAATAATTATTAATATTTTCATTTGCAAACAGAGTAAAAATGAATTTTGTTTACATTGTGAAAAATAATCAAGAAGTATATTACTAAAAATAAGCATATTTCAGATGTGATTGATTTTTCAATATTCAGGGAAATCTTAGATAGATGGTTCCCAGACTCTTCCTTCAACCTATCTGAACATTAACAAATTTTCACAACCCTAATGTCAAATTTACATGCAAAAAATTTGATAAACTTCGTTTAACATTTTTATTCAAAAAATAACTAACATAAAAGTAACAAAAGATAAATTAAATGAAATTAAAAAGTTACTGAATTTGGTCATTTTGAATGGTTTTGCAGTTTATTCAAGTCCTGCTAAATCATGATTCGATTTTGAGATGGTCATTGCATTTCTTTTGAAAAATGTAATAGATTTTTTGACAAATTTGTTTTAAGTTCTAATTTGATAAAGTTTTGTTATAAATTATACAAAATGATCAATGTTTGTCATTTGTTCTCTTATATGAAAATCCATATTTTAGAAACTCTTTGGCATATTTTCGTTTTCTTAAGACTGACTAAATTATCCAAAAAGGCAACATTCTTTTTAACATATTTCTAATATTAGCAATAAATTTTTCTGCATTATTTTGGTTTTATTGTTTTAGTGGTTGGTACAAGTTCTAATTCTGCCAAGTTTTTGAGATAAATTAACCATGAAATTCAAAAATGTGACCAGAGGGTCGTCACCTCTTCAGTGCCTTGTCGGGACTGACACGGAAGCCAAGACAGTGTGTTGATTTGGTCCCGCAAGCGGCCATTGGATTCGGGATGGAGACTGCGTGTTAGCAGGCAGGAAGTGACTCACACAGAAATTAGGTTAACAAAACAACCGTTTATTTGTAAAGGAAAATATATATACGAGTATATGAAATACAATTTATCAATGGTGAGTATAATAAATCGAGCTAAAATAGGTCTCAATAGGCCAAATTTCGCAATTCTGGAGAGAGAAAGTTTACATGAGGTTCGTGTGGTAATAAATACCTTATTGAGGATTTTGTCTTGATCTGGAGTGTTCTGGTTGAAAGGAAGAAAGTTCAGGATAACAGTTCGGGTACCCTGTAGATGAAATGTTCGTAGGCTTGATTGAACGTATCCGTAAAGGTGTTAAAACGATGGGTTCCGATGATATAGTAGAAGGATATAAGAACATATAATAAAATGATATATTCAAGATATCCGAATATTGAGGCACTTAAGATAAGGAACTGGTGACAACTGACTCTTTCGAGGAATTGGCAATGACTGCCTTTTTCAGCCATCCAATTCGATATCAGTACAATATCTCTCGGCTAAGAGGTCAGCAGATCACAGGAATGCATTGCTTTTGCCATTGAGAAAGTGTAAGTGATTTTCTCAGGTAACCGAGGACAACAATTGTTGAGCAAGTGGGACGACATCGACGATGAATTTTTTGGTAAAGTTTGGATTCTCATAAAAATAACTGGAGGTTTTTTTAGTTTATAAAAATAAATGTTTTTGATCAGATTCACTAACCTTTCTCAGTTACAGAACATAACAGAATAGAAGAATAAAGGAACGTAAATACAAATTTAAAAGAATGTAAGTATAAATTTTAAAAAACAAGCATTTGAATTTAAGGACATTACGTTAACAATAATAAAATACACAAATAAATAAATAAATAACAAGTACATGTAAAATTAATAAAATAAAAATAAAAAATATATTCTTCTATTTCATTATGTTTTGTAACTGAGGAAGATCAGTGAATCTGATCGAAACATTCTTAATTTTTATTAAATTTGTTGCTGGATTTTTAAAGGTGTAAGTTTTTTTATGAAATAAATTAACAAACAACAACATTACAATCCGATACCTGATACAACCCAAATTATAAACTACAAGCATGACTGCTGGGAATTTCAGGAGAGAAAAACAATAAAAATGGCAAACAATGTGGAGTTCCATGTTATGTTAAATTTATTTTTGAACTTATTTAATGAGAACAGCTTAATGAAAAATGAATATTTCAAAAAGAGAAATAGGGATGAAAATTTTTTAAATTCTCATAGGAGTTTTAAATAATTCAAACAATCCTAAGATTACACTTTAACAACTAAAAAAAAATTGCTGTATGTGATGTGTTACATAAATACATTAATATATTAAAATATTCCATTAATGTACTAACTGGATATTTATTTATTCAGGGTTTATCCATCAACAAATAAATTAAATTCAAAATTGTCAATGCAAAATAGAGCTCTTACCAGCCTCATGTAGGTTGCTTTCTTGTTTTCTGGTGTACTGAGCACCAAAAAGGACGCTTGTAGCAACCATAAGTCATGAACAGAGATGCTGAGAGGTGTGGGTTGTGCGCTGAGATTTTGAATATGCCCATTGTTTGGCTAGACGAGCACGGTAATGCTCATACAACGAGAAACAATGCCACATGAAAACGCAACAGTCACCCTTTGTTTTCGCAAAATTAGCAGTGAGGTCACATGGGCAACCAACAAAATCAGAGACAAATTTTTCGCAAAAAAAATCAACAAAAACAGAGGTATTACTCTATATATTTTGTTATTTGAATTTATTTCATACTTACTGATGTATCTAGTAATGCTTGAGTTATCAGATATAAAAAATATAACCTTTTTCTCTTCTCAGAAAAATGGAACAAACTTGTTCCATTAATAAACATTTTGCTGCAAAGAGGAAAAAATTATATTTTTTGATATTTGCAACTGGCTCCAGTTTTTTTCTTACATTTTCTTAGTATACTTGAGTTTATAAAATCCCTACGTTAAGAAGTGCTGGTGGTGCAAATAAATCTTATATAGAAACCACAACTGACTATCTGCATAATTGAACATCAAAAAGACATTCACAGGTCAAGCAAGTAATAGAGTTAATTACTTTTGAACCTATTTAGAAAAAAATGTAATTGTTACCGGCTTGTACAGATCTTTGATTAAATTTCATTTGGAAGATGATGCACATCTTACTTAGCAATCTTTGTGATTTTATGACAACTCTTCCGGAGCACTGGTCAGAGTTCGTTAGACCACTAAAATAGCTTTTACATTTTCAGGCATGATTAATTTGAAGGTTATATTTATTGTGTACAGCAGGGATGGGCAATTTTTTTCTATGTAAAAGCCACATTTCCAAACTTTTGGACTGAGGTGGGCCACATACAAGAGAAAAAAGGGCAAAAATTGTCGATAAATCACAATTACTTATTCATATATAATTATAAATTAGCACAGGTATACTTAATTTAGCTTCTTGAATGGATGTAAACTTAATATATAGGAAATATTTGGTTTAATACTAGTCACTGTTAGCTTTAAATTAGTTTTGATGTGTCTCTTAGCCAGTTTTTTGTTTTAATTTTGACTAAATTCATTGTGGAAAAACTATTCACATACATAAGTTGTAAAAAATAACATTTGAATTTTTGCTGCATACTTCCTTAAGCTGGGAAATTGATATATTTATTCATATTTTATGTGGACTGCAAAAAATTTTACTGCGGGCTGCAGGCTGCCCATCCCTGGTGTACAGGGTTATCAAAGTAAATCTGGAATATCTTTGTGGACAATCTTATGTAGTCTTGGAGGTAAGATTGTTAACAAAAGTATATGCATGTCAAGTTACTCAAGAAAAAAGCTTTGAAAAGTCAACAACTGTGACCTTCTCATATATGTAGAAAAAATACAACCAAAGAACTGCTATGCTGGAATCACTTTGTGCCAGAAAGTTGCCCTTACAAATCACAGCTTGATTGGGCTACAAGAAGATGCAAACTTACAGCATAGCCAAGAAGTTCGGGGAGTCTGACAACAAGGAGAATGTGATTCCTGACAGGACATCTCACGGTAAGCTTTCTGATTGCAAAAGAAATGTGGAATTTGCACCCAAATTGAAGATGATGATCAATCGAGATGATGCACAAAGCATAACTGACTTCACAAAAGAAATGGATGTGGCGAGGTCGACAATCAGTCTGGCAGTATAGGAGGACCTGCAATATTCCTGAACTAGCAATTCCTGAATCCCTTCTTTTTTACTCAGGAATTGCCAGCTCTTGACTGAAAAACAAGGACAGAAAACTTCTCATAAATGAATCTTGCAATTGCAGATGTTTAGCTTGGGCCAAAACTCAACATTTGTACTCTAAAGTGTACAAATGCTATGGTCGGATGAATCAACATTTCATGCAAACCATGAAACATGGGAATATAAGCATGAAAATCATTCATATTAAAGATAAAGCTAATAGTCCAGCATATTATTCAAGACAATTCCAGAGCCACAGTCTCTAATGATTTGAGGGGCATGAGTACAAAGGGCATTGGAGATTTTATTTCAGTAACGATGCTGTGAACTCTGAAGTCTTTGTTTGAATCCTTCAGCAACATCTAAACAAATTAAAACAAACTTTTTTAAAGACAAGCCTGTATTTTCCAGCAAGACAATGTCCATCAGCACAATGGTAGGAAAAACAAAGCCTGTCTCCAATATAAAATGTATGAAGATTTTTGAAAAAACAATGGTATGTAATTGTTCTAACATGCCATCATTGCATGTTAGAACAATTACATACATATTTAAGTGAAGAATAGGAAAAAATTCCAATGCAGTTGCTACACAAGTTTGTATCTTCCATGTCTCAATGCTTTGTAACTCTTATTAAGCAAAAATGTGATGTTATTCCATTGTGAGATTCAGGATTTTAAGGATATTAAAATCCATTTATAAGAAAATTTTTAAATAACATCTGTCGCGATAGTTAGGAAAACTATTGCACCAGATATGGATCGAATGACGTTCTCTATCAACAAATGAATGAGAATTTTAACAGTCAGTTGCTGAATGATAACATCCAATTGTGAAAGGAGAGGAAAGCATTACATCAACAAAAGTCATTGTCAAACTCGCATCTGCAAAAGAAACCTTTGGTTCTAAACAACTGCCGATCACCTGACCACTTTCCCAGGCTAAACGCATAAAAGGGCGAGTCACCAACAGTTCTGTGCATTTGTCATAATGTTCCAATGAATTAATGTTTGGTCATAAGTGCTCCGATAAAAGTGGACGTCCGCCCAAAAAAGGAAATAAGAAGTCCCCAGAGAAGACACTCGCCATTCTTTCAACAGTGAATCCTCGTCAAGACAATAAAATGACGTCTTATCGACGATCAACAAAGAATTGAGGTATTTTGTTAGAAAACTGTAAACTCTCTCTCCGCATCCGAGAAAGTAGGTAGCCTCACAGCATAGAAAATAGAATAGCTTCGCGGCATAAAAGGTAGAATAGCCACTTCATTGTATAATTGTATGTTATCCTCATTTACTCACCTAATTTTGTGATATGCATGTATTAGATTTCTAGTTTTATTAAACTTTTATTTGTTGAGTTTAAAAACCTGTCTGACTGTCTATTGCTTGGAAACCAGACATCTCATCAACTTCCCCACCGTGCTCCCCACTCGATCAATTTAAAGACCCTGCTGTTTAAAGCCATCCAACGACCCTGTGAGCAGTTTTCACCAAACTGTTCCCAGTTTTACTCACACCATAATGATTTCAGAATCTTAACACATTGAACAAAGTTCAAAAAAATGTATTGTAAAGGCTCAGCAGATTAGATTATATATTTTAATAGCAAATTATTTTCTCAAAATCTGAGCTTCTGATATGTTTGTATGATCACTTATATTCCTAATAAATTACTTTTTGTTACAAAAATAAACAACTGTGCATTGTACTCTAAATTATTTTAAGTTTTTATTAGTAAACGAAATTCATTGCAAACAGGGCTGTACATTAAATCAAATGATGTCTGATTTATTATTTTTTGAAGTACAATATTTAAAATGTTTGTAATAATTATATATATTTAATTTTATAACAGTAGTAAATAAATGTATTGAAATTAGTTAGTATCAGTTTTTAAATATTTTTCATCTTATATAAACAAACATTCATGAACTCATTTTTTAGATTAATGCCAAATGATTGAAAACTATTTTCAGCTATAATAATGCTACTATTTATTAATTAGATGTTAAGTAATTTTTCCATTTTATTTCAATTTTGTAAGTGAAAATATTAAAAAGTGAATCAAACTTAATTGGTCCATTTTTTGGTATTTGTACAATTATGCATCACATGGTTCAAAAGTGACTATTATCATTTTAAACTGTGAACATAAGACACCTTTACGTCTAGTAAAAAATTAGTAATATGAAGTACATTTTAAAATCAAGAAAATATGATATTACATCAAAGAGATAAAAATATTAAAAAGATTCACTTACTTCAATAAAATTATTTCATTTTCAAGAATAATCTTGGCTTTATTAAATTCTAAATTATTTCTATCCAATTTCTCCATCATGCTACGAAGTTCTTCTTTTGCTTCATTTCCAGATATTTCAGACTTTCTTAATAATTCTTCTTGCTCTTTTCTGAAATAAAACATGCATATCGTTAAAAACTAAAAAATTTTTAAAAAACATGTAATTAAATATATATTGAGGAAAGAGTCATTGACATTCAATGTAATGTCCCTTAAATTAAAGTACAGTAAATAATGATTTTTGTAGAAAATAATAGTTCTTTTCGTTAAGTTTTAGTTTTGCAATATATGTTCACATTAAATTTACATTTGGTCCAGATATATTAGCATCAACACATACAGTATTTAATACTTTATTTGAATACTACTGTATTTTAGCAAACCAGTTTTTTGTATTAAAAAAAATCCAATTCAAGAAAAATGTATTAACAATAACATTATAGTGTATGCCCTCACAAATATATCTTTGGTTGAAAATAAAATACAAGGCATTGATATTGAAATAAAAAATAACAGAAACAATATAATGAACAAAGATAAATGCAACAATATGTTAAATATTTGTCTATTGCGATTTGCTGAGATAAAGATGATAGAAAAAAGCTTTATGATTATTAATAGGATAATGTTCCAATGCTAAAATAACCAAAGAAGTCCAAGATTTATTAGAGATTAAACTTTTTTCAAGACAAGATATCCCACTGTTGGATATTACTCATATAGTTGTAACATTAAAATACAGTGACATTCTGTTAACCAGGCATCGTTGGGAATGATGCAGTGCTGGGTTATTGACTATATCAACTTATCAGACGATGAAATTTTTTCTCATTTTTTTTCAATTCCCGGACATAATTTTATGTATCTTTTAAGACTGTTTCACACCATTTCAATTTTTCCAGACTATTCCTATGCTTGGTTGGTTTGAAACAACAACAGTCTAATCTTACTTGTGCTTTGAACACTTTTATCTATATCTATTCTGTACTCTATATCTATATTTATATATCCAGTGGTGATATTCAGCGGGTTCGCACAGGTTCGGCCAAACCCGTTGTTAACATTTTCAAAGTTTTCCAAACCTTGTTAAACACATGTAACATTTCTCAGTGGTTTTGTTTCTTTTAAAAAATATTATATTAAAATATACGTATTATACTCTGTAACACTACTAAACTAGAGCCTTATACCCCATTCGCCTTGGTGCGACCTCCCTCGATCGTTTCAATCTCAATTGAAACGAGGTTCAATCGTGGTCGACTCAAGAGAGTTCTTGAAACTAGATCCAGGGGCCATATTCTGGTCACCGTCTCTGGTCTCTCACAAGACGGTCTCTAATTTGGATTAGCCAATCATCAACCGGCTTGTGAGAGACAAGCCGGTTGCTTGTCTCTCACAAGCCAGTGACCAGAATACGACCCCAGCATAAGAGAGATCCCACAATCCCACGCGCGCGAGAAAATACAAGATGGCTGCGGAACACATGTCGTAATAAAATATGTACAAAATAAACCATTTTGAACACTCTTTATTATTATTTATCAAAAAAAAAGAATATAGTTCTGGCATAAAAAATGTTAAATTTTAACTGACTTAATTTTGCGAACGCATCTTTTTTATTTATATGGGTATCTTAAAGTCAGTTTTTGCGCTAATGTTGCTAATGCACCATTTGAGAAAAAAAAAATTGTTAAGGAAAAAGTTTCTGTTAGCGAATCTTTGTTAAATATTTCGAATATCACCACTGTATATATCTATGTATATATTAAAAGCAAAATGTTCCATCACTGCCACTATTAGGCATCATTTCTTGATAAATTTAATAATTATAGTTATAATTAAATTAATATTTAATAATTAATTTAGAAAATTCTGAAAAAAGAACTGGCCTAGAGTGAGTCTCAAACTTGCAACTCCCACTTGCTATGTGCATTACCAGTTATGCTACCCAGATCTCCTTTTTAACAAAAAGGTTTAAAAAATTGAATTTAAAATTTAACTAACTTTTCTTTTTCTGCTTTCTGTTTTTCTTCCCACATACGAAATTGCAATATATGAATCTGATTTTGTAATTCTTCCTCTCTTTTAACGTAATTAATTCTTTCTTGTTCTAATTCTTCTTTAGCAGTTTCAACATCCAGTTTCAAATCTAAAAATATAATAAATTAAATATTTATTTTAGTGATGCCACGAATAGTGATTTTGCCGAATACCGAATACTCGGCTACGCTCTCGGCCGAAGTGCTGAATATTTGGCAAAATATGTGTACATTTCGCGGGTGACAGGTTACGACCTGTCTCATTGCAGTGGGGTGCGGTAGTGACACCGCAGGCGCAATTGTTTTATTTGTGAGTAGATTGTGTCACGACATGCATTATTTGTTCATTGTTATATCAAATTGTGTTATTAATAGTCCTTATTACTAAAAAATATCACTGTTTGTATCACTTTATATGAAAAACTGTTCACCTAGATCGAACGGCAGACCTTTACAAGCGGTGTTCAGCAAACGCAAAACAGTATCCAAGCCTGACAGAATTTGCTAAGATTTATCTATCCTCTCCTGGCAGTAGTGTATATAGTGAGAGGCTATTTTCAAAAGCAGGTATAGTTTATAAGGAAAAGTGCAATCGTTTGCTATCAACAAATGCTGAAAAAATTGCTTTCATTCATCACAACTTACCACTGATAGATTTTAAGTATTAAATGTAATAATTTGTGATTAAAATAAATACGTTTTTGAGTGATATGTGCGTTTTTTTTTTTCATGATTTGGTATTCGGTATTCGGCCAAATAGTATGCAACATTCGGCCGAATACCGAATATTAAAAAAAGTAGCCGAATAGTAGCCAAATATTCGTGGCATCTCTAATTTATTTATGTGAAGTTTTGAATATTTTAAAATTACATTATAAATTATGTATTTTAAAAATTATAAATACAATAATAAAAAAATACATATTTTAAATTTCAACTTCTTCAGAAAAGCATTCATTTTCTAATAACTTTGATCTCAACACAATAACAACTTTGTGATTAAATAATTATTACATATTACATACTTATAAAATATGAATCAGAAACTACTCCTTTTGCGACTTCTCATTTGCTGCATGAATTCAACAAAGCTCAATCTTAAGCAAGTTACTTCTCATAGCATATGTGAGATCCGACCCGTGAGCAAACCAATTTGTTTTTCTTTCTTCTAAATTGTCACAACTGTAACATCTTTTGAATAAATTTATCACTTTAAAAAGAAAAAAACCTCATCGTCAGAAAAACAAAATCAACTATCTCCCTTATATAAACATATTAAGTATCAAGTTACAACTCTCTCCTTTAACGTAAACATTCGACCATCTAACAATAGCAGTCGTCTGCAAGTCTTAATGTTGACGATTAAAGTCCAACTTCGACGATTTATTGCAGCCCGGGACCACCTTTAACCTCACACCTGCTAAGACAATGGGTCACATGACGACTTTTCTCACGGCAAAACGTATAAAAAGCCTCCTCCTTCTTCAATCGGAGGAGTCGCCAATCGAACGAATAACGACGAAGTCGGACATCGAAGTCTTCCCCATTGCAGACCTCCTCCACCTTGTGCCACACCTCGCACCGCCTTTCAGAAATTTAAGTCAGAAGTATCCATACGATATTATCTCAGAGGTATGAAATATTATTGTGAACTCTCTCTCTCATCCGCGAAGTTGAAGGATTTTTGTGTAAATTTTCTTTTGTTAGTCAGTAAAATAAACTCTTGTTTTGTTTAGAATGGTGTTTTTACTCGACTATACATTGTCTTATCGTCGACCCCTCTGACTCTCCTCCACTCGCGTAACGCGTAACAGAACGTAAAAGCCATCCTTGACAAGACAGTAGGTCACCGACCTGTGGCCATATCGGAGAGGCTTTTCCAACCTCCCCGGCAGCTCACACATATATCAACAATACCTTAAAACAGTTTGCTTCTCTAACAACTTATGCCAATGATATTAAAATTATAAATAATAATCCGAACATCCTAAAACACAACGTAGATAGAATCCCATCCTGATTTTTTTGTTCAAAATTTATGACCATATTCTTACTTTTGTCAATGTAGTTAATGACTTAGATTAAAATTACCTTCTTCTCAATAGTGGAAAGAATCACAAACATACTTTAAACAACCTTTAGAGTTCAGTAATCAAATTTTTTAATGTAAAAAAATTGGTTACTGGACTTTAAAGGTTGTTTAAAGCATATTTAATGACTTAGATATTATGGTCAATGATAAATTCACCTATAAATATCATACTGATAAAATAAAAGGTTTGGCAATACATAGAACAATATTGTGGAGAAACCACAAACATGTCATCCACACCTGCCCTACACATTGTTTATTTTACCACTTTTCAAACAATCATTGATTATTTTCCACTTCTACATGCTACTGCTTCTAATACTCTCGTAAACAAAGTCATTAAAAAATTTCTGAAATATATCTGCCGTTAAACAAACTCACCGACCTACCTTTTATAAATTCTCCCAAAATTGCTCAAACATGTTTAGGTTTCCCGAACACGTGTGACAGAGTTTATTATTATGATAGAATTTTAATGGATTCCCTACACATTTTAGTTTATGCATATTTAATTTCATTATTTGTACTAACTCTTTAACTCTTGCTTTTATATATCTCAATTTAGACTTTATATATCACAAAAGACTTTTTTTAATAGATTAAAAACATTATTATTTATAATAAAGTTTATAATATCCTTATATGTTATATAGTTTATATCTCTTTTTTTTACACACGAAAATAAAAATATAAATATTATTATTTTTATAGCTTTTAATTGAGTTTTTTCTCATTTTTAATGAGGGGGTGGGTTTATTTTGTTCATTGAGTATCACCATGTATCTTTTATATAAAGAATAAAAAAAGAAAATTATTCCATGTTACAATTGAAATTATAATTCATTAAAAATATTTTTTATATTTTATTTATTTATGTTTACACAATTTCTAAAACAGATTAATGTAATAAATAAATATAAAATTTTAAAAAGTTTTTCATTAGGACTAAAAGTACTTAAAATCTTTTTCTTGTAATATATCTATCAAAACTGAAATTTAAACAGTGAATTTTTTGTCATCTACAAAACACTGTCTCAAAATTAATGATGGAATATTGCAACACAGAGTTTGTTATATTTGAGAGATAATGTATAAGATAGCTGTGAAAACAATCTTACCAAATCAAATAACCAAGATAAATGATACTGTAACAGACAGCTCATTCTTGCAGCTGTATTATGAAAAATAGGGGCACTGGGATAAGTATCATAAGGCAAATCTTGGAAAAGAACTGGACAGTAACAATCAATTACAGTTCTTCAAGTAATATATTCACAAAGTATATTGATTTCCATTTGACAGTAAGAAGAAATGTCTAACTCAGATGAATTAATGCCAACTGTTATTTCTGGGTCATTTAATGACTTTTGTAAAAAGCTGATATTTGATCATCTACATTTTACACAGAAGTTTGATCTGCTTTTCTTCGATGGCACAGTCATAAGTTATGAATATGCCAAATACATACTTGCTTATGTTGAGAGACACTGAAACATTCAGTTAAAAAAAAAGTGCTTAGTGATAACAGTAGAGAAATTGATCATTTTATGCAATTTTTAATGCAAAGAGCATTATGTACATCAAAGCAAAATGGTCAATGAGAATAGAGATGTTCACAACAGTTTAAATGATAGAACAATCCAAGTACTCAAATCCAGAATCTGATTTGTTCATCAGGAGTATTAACAAAATTAGTCAGTAATGATAAGTACAGTACATCTTAAATCTAACTGGAAAATCATCTGTATAAGGCATTACAATGTACAAACCATAACTAAGGAACAGGCTCAAGATAAAACATCTAATTTCAGTTCTATCTACCATAATATTCTGGTTCAGAGACAAAGAAAATCAAACAAAAAAGCAGACGGGAGACTCTCTTATAGGATATGGCTGTGACGGTATTTTCTATTTAAATGTGTGGCAGTTAATGGAATTAAAAAGAAAGGTTAAGTTATTCATAGTATAAAGCCGATGATATAAAGATATATCATATGCTATAAATGCATGAATATGTCATAGCCACTTGCTGAAATTTTCCATTTCTTGAAGTGTTAGCACATCTAATATAGAAACCCTATCCTGAATTGGATGTATGTAATACTACAATACTTCCAAACCTAAAATCCAGTGAGTGAAATAAAAATATTTTTTGAAAAACAAATGTTTTCAACCTTTACAAAGGCCATCTTCAGATTCTACTGCTAAAATGCAAATTGAACATAAAATAAATTTAAATAATGTTTGGTGTGTACAAATGTTGCATGTGCAGAAATGCAGTAATACATAAAGATATTAGGTGTATGGTTTGGAAAGAATAATAAAGAATATAATGTAAAGGAAATGAATCAAAAAATTAATAATGCTATACAAAATTGGAAAAACACATGGCTATATCTTCCAGAATGTGTAATCATAGCTAATAAAGTACTGATTGCAAGAATAATGTATAATCTTTATGTTACCAATCTGACTAAAAATGACACTAAAATTATTAATAGATTGATTTTTAACTATATCTGGAATAAAAAGTACAAACCATTAAATAGAAATATCATGAGAAATAATACTATGCAAGGAGGATGGAATATATCGGAAATTTATGATTTAGAATGTTCCTTACAGATAGCAAATTTAATTAATTCTATGAAGAAAAATAATCATTCGTTCTCAGACATGGCACAATATATTTTGGGTCCATTAACTAAAAAAATTACAATATTTAAAGGAAACTTTCCATTCATTATAAACAATAACAAGTGTTTTAAAAAATGGAGAGAAATAGTGACAAATCTCCTGAATAATGATCAGCTCACTGATGAAATAAGACTCTCTTTTATATATAAAAACATTCACAAACAAACTATGAATATAAACACGCTAGATAATATTATAAACTGGAAAGAAGTATGATCCAATGTGGACATGTTACCGGCAGAATGAAAAGAAACAGCATGGCAAATTCTCAACAATATTATCATATCAAGGGTGTTCCTTTATAACTACCAACAACAAAGAGGCTGCGTTAGATGTGGTAGAGACGAAGACACCTTTCATATCTTTTATGATTGTAAGATAGCAAAACATACATGGCTTTAGGTAAACAAATTATTTAAGACTTTGATCTCTTGGCAAAATATAAAGTACCATATTAACTTTCCAGTAAGAAACCAAAATAAGTACCTAATAAATTGAATGATAGCCCTTACAAAAAGAATTCTATGGAAAGCTAGATGCGCTTTTCTGTTTGAGAATAAAAAATGGAATGAAACGTTGATAGCAAAAAAAATTAGAGAAGAAGCAAGTCATAAAATAAAAACGGATAAAAAAACTAAGTGAAAAAAATTTTAATAAATTATAGTTCGGGACTGAAAATGTAATATGGAAAGCAATAAATAATGATATAGAGTTTAACAACCAATGGACGATAAATAGGAATGTAAACAGTTAGGTTAGTGAGGAAGTACTAAAAATATTGCTGATAGAAAAGTACTTTAAATACAATAGATTATCTGAGTATGTAATGGAAA